CACCAGCTAAAATTAGGTTACGATAATTTTTATATTGCGAAAGTAATATGTCTAGGGAAAGGAGAAAAGGATCGATGCTTCTTTGTGACGGTGAACGGTAGATACCAATCACAGCTGTATGTTGTTGTATGTTTAATGTTTTTCATTAAATTATCATTATTTAAAGGATTGAATGTTACTATTTATTGGTGTGACGTAGCTAAAAACTTGTATTGTTGATTTTATAATTATTTTAAAACTACTTACTATATATGTTATCCTGGTAATAAAATGTAAAATAAATATTTCGTTGTTGGTAACTTTTAGCAATTGCAAACTAACCACAAATTTTGGAAAAGAGAAAACTACTTCTAGTCACATCTCTGTTTTCAGCGAGATGAGTTGATTTTCATCCTTAATCTCGATGTGGGATGAGTCGGGAGTCTTGCGAAGAAATACCTTTCCATTGCTGGTCCAGCAGAACTTGTAATTACGGCTCTTTGCTAGATCTCTGGCCAGGAAGAAGAGTCTACGTCCTTTACTGGTAAGTGCTTCAGAGACGTAGATTGGTGTCGGTGGGCTTTTAAAACCCAAGGCGGCGGAGTTTAGTCGTTGTGCAGGGTGCTGTTTATTGTAGACCTTACAACCATTGATCACATCGTTTTTTGTTATCACCGATGTAAATTCGGCAATAATGGTACCCTTACCAGCTCTACCATTTAGAGGAAACACATCTCTGATTGCGGCTTTATCGACTTTCACCTGAAGAGCTTTCACTGTGTTTTGAACAATCTGGCAGAGTTCGGCTTTGCTTTCCGGTTTTTCCGGCAAGGGTATATTCCGTATTTCAATACTGGATGCTTTTGATGATCGTTGCATGTCGTCTAGTTTCATTTCCAGTTGAGCTATGTGAAGCTGACTTTGTTTGTGTTCCGTCTCAAGAGCTTCCACCTTCCTCTTCATATCTTTGTATAGTCCATTGATCATAATCATCGATTTTTCAATTTCATCGTTAGAGCGTTTGATACCTTTGTTCTGTTCTTTTATCTCTATAACCTCGGCAATCAGTTTTGATAACTTTGTATCCTGGGATTTTTGCCACTCCTCAAACATACTCTTGAACTCATCTCTAAAAGAGGGAAGTCCATCGTCATCATTTGATTGGCGGAATCTTTTGTTAAGTTGGGACTTGGGACACAAAAGTTGGAGTGGGGAAGTCAGAAGCAATTTTAGATACATCAGAATCAGAAGATGTTTGCTGCAAATTGCTTGCAGGTGGGGTATGTAGAACTTTGGGCATTTTCCAAGTTCGAAGTTTAAGCGGTCGTTTATAGTGTAAACTCGTTACCAGTTACCTTGATCTGTCGTCGCACCGAATTTGGTTGAGGCGAAGGTCCAAATGTCTTGGTTGCTGGTTTGATGTTGTTGCTGTCTCACAATCGCCTTTTCGCTCTGTGCGCCTGGTACTTGTTTCCGAATTTCATCCAAACTTTTTAAAATATTTTGTTTAAGAAAAGTTATTTAAATTAAACACACGTCTATTTGCTTTCGAGGTCCAGCGGGAAGGGGAATTTTAAATTAACTTTAATATAATATAATATAATATAATATAATATAATATAATATAATATAATATAATATAATATAATATAATATAATATAATATAATATAATATAATATAATATAATATAATATAATATAATATAATATAATATAATATAATATAATATAATATAATATAATATAATATAATATAATATAATATAATATAATATAATATAATATAATATAATATAATATAATATAATATAATATAATATAATATAATAATTAATATTAATAAAATACAACTATATTATGTCACATTGCAAAAGTATTGATTTATATAAGAAAAAAATTATGTTTATCAATTCAGAACTCACATTCACATTATTAGTAATAATAATGCAGATATTCAATTGAATCATTTTTTCAAATAAAAATACATAATTTAAAATGATATAATTTGCATGTTCACAATCTGTTCCATACCATTTCAATATTAATATCTCAGTTAGTATTCCGAAAAGCGGTGTTCACATAATTTATCATACAAAACTAAATAAGTTGCTAGTTGAAAACTAATTTTGTATTTTCATTCCGCATCCCAAATGTTATGCCTGTCAAACTCCACAGAGACTGAATTGGTCATTTTTAGTACAACAGATATTATTTTCGAGAAAAGTGTTGTCAAACCTGAAATAAGATTCCACAATTTTTTTGTATTTTAATTTAAACAAACAAACAAATGTAATATAAGTTACAGAAGTAAGTATTGTTATTCTTATATTTCTTATTCTGAATTGAGACTTCAGGTTATATTGGACGTGAAACATTTGTTAAATAATAAAATAATGTCATCACTTGTTTTATATAATTTAAAAAAATCAATGGCCTCTTTGGGTATGGGCCTAAGATTTCTGAATCTGTCTCATGATCATTTTTCAATCTAATAGGCAAGTAGGTGATCAGCCTCCTGTGCCTGACACACTCCGTCGACTTTTGGGGTCTAAGACATGTCGATTTCCTCACGATGTTTTCCTTCACCTTTCGAGCCAATGTTAAATGCGCACATAGAAAGTCTATTGGTGCACAGCCGGGGATCAAACCTACGACCTCATGGATGACAGTCGCTCGCTAAAGCCACTTGGCCAACACTGCTCATTTTTGTATAATTTAAAACGATTAAAAAACTTGTATTTTAACCATTTAAAATTAAGAACTTTTGTCCATGTACCAAGATACAAAGATGCAAGGAACGAAGAAGGTATCAAATAGCCACTTCTTCCTTTCGTTTTTATCCTTCTGGGTAACTTTAATGTTTAGTTTATAAGCTCATCGCCGCGGGTGGGTATACGTAACGCAAAAACAAACAAAAAAATAACAAAGTTCAGTCGTAGACCGAAATATGACTCTCCTAAAAAAATATGTGGAACATGGTGTAATGGTTGCAGCTCCTTACAAGCGTTGTGTAAAACAAAAACTTGGCGATTAAAAAGAGTGGCGGAGTGTTTATTGCCAGTTCTTCTCTTCCGTTTTATGCACTTGATTTGAGAACTGGTAGTAAATGTAAAATTAGAAGCATTTAATGTATATTTCTTTTTTGACGTTTATAAGTGTACATTGTGTTACCTATATGAATATATGAGTTTTGACTTTTCTCGTATGTCTAAATCCAATACGTTCTTGCATTTACCTCAATACAGGCACTCATCTTACATCTGAGTTGTTATTTTGATTGATTTATCGGTGTCTCAACCAAGATCCTTAATATTTGGATTAAAGTTTAAAATTAAGTTTTATATTAGTAGGTTTTAGTTTCATAAGTCTATTAACAAATAGGTCATTTAACAAATTAATAATCTGTGATTTGGCACAATTCACAATTATATTTGAGGTGTAAAAATGTATGAAAGGCTATAGATTTTTTATGATAAATAAGAAATACGAAACAACTATAGTTTTAATAATGTCTCTAATTGTTCTAAATTAGGAAAAATATATTGTAATTTTATTTGAATTATTCAAGATCTTCTTTTATTTCCAATACAGTTTCAGCCTTGCGATTCTGTAACTCACTTTTCGAACTCACACAGCGGTTTTCGCATCGGCGCGGCGGTCGCTCTCAAATCAGTCGTGAAGCAGTCATTTTATGATTTGGCATGCTGAAAAGGTGGGAGCTTGTAGTTTATTGTTTATCAGAATGCCCAATCGCAGGGCTGTATTTCAAATTCTAGGAATTACAAAGAGATATTGTGAGAAATAAGAATTGTTTTTCAACAACATTGCTCATTGTGGTAGCACTAATTAAAGGATGATTTACGCTACACCGTGTCTCGACCGGGCCGTGCCCCGGCCGAGGCACGGTCTAAAATTAATGATATACTTTTGTATGAAGTAATTCATGCCTAACCGTGGCTCGGCCGTGCCCTTACCGTGCGCCGCCGGGACTCGGCCGGGGCACGGCGTTGTAATGTCGGTGGGTATTGTTTCCCGGCTCCGGCACGGTCCGGCCCCGACACGTCGTAACATGAACGTAGGCGTCCGGCCACACGCAGAGCAGTCAACGTAAAATCTTAGTGAGGTCTGCAGCTCAACAGCAAAATGGACGATGAAAAATTATTAGAATGTGTACGCAAGTACCCTGTGATTTACGGCATGAGCCATCCTAAGTATTTAGATAACAAATACAAAAATATTATATGGAAAACCATTTCGGACGAAATAATCCGATGGGAGATATAGGCTTTTGAAATCTTGTAATTTTTTTGGTTAGATCTGGTTTTAATTTTTCAAGTAAATAAGTAAAGCATTCTTAAGACATTCTAAAATAACCATAAAACTTGCTCTCGTCGTCTATTAATTCTTTGTAAAGTAAAGAAAATTCCCCTTCTGCTTCTCGCTTTCTCCAGGTTGGATGTACACCCCATCTTCTTTTAGTACTTTCGCTTCGTTTTTCTAATACTTCGTCATCGATGGCAATTGCAACAGCTGCCAATTCAAATTGTGAAAATTGCATAATTACTTAAGCGTCAAGTCTATCGACAGATGAAATCACTAGCTGACAAAAACAGATATAGTCGTGCAAACACGTACGTGCGTACACTCAAACAGCCCGGTGTAACATGAATCACTGTCCAGGCCGGCGCACGGTGGACGTGTCCCGGCCGAGACCCGGCCCGGTCGCGACACGGTGTACCGTGAATCATCCTTTAAGGAACAAGATTCATTACTACAAAATTATCTATTTAAAAAATGTAAATATATATTTTAATTAAATTAAATTTCATCTGTGCCAGTATAACATAAAACACAAACTTTTTAATATATATTTTAATAGTTGAAGATTATTTTTGTATATGTATTACTATAATACGAGTCAACAGTAAAATAAATTATTATTCATATTACAGTTTAATTATACCTATTACGGTAATGTACATTCTGAATCGCAGTCTTAAACACGTCAAAAGCACTTATTCTATTCTCTAATAGTGTTTTGTATCCAACTGATGTACTGATAGACATTAGTATAAAGAGATGGCACTTTAGATCCGCAAGGACTGTCAGCTCGTTTGCCACTAACAATACCGATGATGTAGTAACTGCCTTTATACAGCATCATGAGGGGTCCTCCAGAATCACCCTTGCATGTGTCCTGTCCCGTTCTTCCTGCAGCACAGAGATGTTTCTTGGACAGATGAGGATAGGACTTCTTGCAATCATCAGGTGGTACCAATTGGACTACGGTAGACTGTTTAACATCGGTCAGGTACTGGTGGTCACGACCCCAGCCTGCGACGGCGAGCGGCAGGTTGGAAAATTCCGGAATATCAATGTTGATGTTTGGAAGGCAGACTGGTCTTATATATCCTGGAACAGTGATATTTGTATTTATTTCTAATTTCTTTAGTTTAGCCTTAGCTAGTTTTGATCAGTTATATCATCAGAAATTTATTATAAGAAATTCGCAATTATTTGTATACGTTACTTACTTGTATATGGTGCAAATGCATTAAGCCTCACGAGAGCAATGTCATTAAGAAGTCGATCGTCGTCATATTCTGGATGGTGGATCACGTCTTCAGCGTGCATGAGGACGTTCTTGACACATTCACGTCCACCACCGAAAACTGTGATGCAATCAATTGGGAATGTTCGTTTGTCATACTCTGCTAACGTTACTTCAACACTGAAATTAGAGAATTATTTCTATAATATACATCAGATCTTCATAGGTATTAGTATAATTTAAGTTACTTAATCTGCTTACTCGCTGATCCTGGCTTTAGGTTCGAAAACGCAATGTCCAGCTGTAAGTACATATCGCCGACTGATAAGTGATCCTCCACAGCTAAACGCAGAAATTTTAGTCCCGTAGTCGAAAGTAGTCTTCATGAGAACTGTCCAAGGGAATTGATCAAGTTCTGTTTCCCTGCCTCCTGTCAAAAAATGAAGTATTAGTATACTAGAAGAAATACACAATTGTTAAAGCTCATATTTGTTAATTCCGATATTTCGTAGGAATGTTTGAACTGTGGGAGGATGGTGCTGCACTTCCGCCGAACTTAAGAAAGATCCGTTTTCAGTCCCGTCATTGTACCTACTGATTTGCAGCCAAGACTCTAAGCGTCTCTAAGGAATTGACATGCAATGAGTTGATTTTTGTACCTGCGATTCTATTATCGAGTGATAGATCAGTATCATTTTGAGTGGCACGTTTCCTTCTTTGGTAAGTGGGCCATGATGTTGACGGTCGGTTGTGATGTCGTTGGTTGTTTCTTGGCTGATTCCAAGAGTTCTGTTTCGGCGGTGCAAACATGTTTAACAAACTCTGCAAATCTATAAAAGAACATCAGTGATTAAAAAATCAAACCTTTCAAGCTAGTAATGCTATGAATATTCATGCTCTTACCAGTTACTTTGTCAGCATCTGACATATCTCTTCCACAACAACCAGTTTCAGGGCTCGGAGGATAACTTGTCTTCATTCTGTTACACTGTTCTTCTAAGTTAGGATTATGATCCTGATGATCATTGCCATAGGAGTTTTGATTTTCATTTGGATTGGACTGATATGGAGGATTTTCGTTAATTGTTGAAGGTAATTCAGTATTTAATCCAGGCTGCAGTTGCTTGGGTATATTGGATTGTGGGATTTGGTATCCTGGCACTATATTGTTTTGGATACCTTCCGATGGAAGTCCAGGATTCGTAATACCAGGGTTTATTATATTCGTTTGTGGGTTCTGATAATCAGGTACGAAATTATTTTCGTTGCCAGGTATATTTAAACCTGGATTGAAGGTTCCAGGTTGTTCTTGGCCCGGAATATTAGTCGGTTGATTATTGTGGTAGCCTGGGGTTATATTATTTTGACCTGGGTTTAATATGCCTGGTTGGACATGACTATGCGGGTATGTTTGGTATCCTGGGTTCCGTTGATTGCCCCAAGGAAAACCATTTATACTGGAACCGGGATATGATGGTCTATTGCCATACTGAGGATTAGTGTAAAGATTTGGATTCGGTCGATTTTGCTGTCCACCATAGGGATACTGGTTTGTAGGTCTATTGAACTGGCCACCTAAAGCCTGTGAAGGACGATTTTGAAAACCTCCAAATAAATTTTGACTTGGCGTAAAGCCACCATTTTGATCATAGCCACCAGGTTGGCCAAAAGTATTTTGGTTGTCAGGAAATTGGTTTCCTAAATACCCAGGAAAGCGTCCCTGATTACCAAAATGACCTGGATTACCGTACCCCGGTTGCTGTCCATACCCATTTTGATTGTTTGGCATATTTTGGTTACCGTACATGTTCTGATTAGGATAATTCTGTTGTCCTCCATAGGGGTTGTCCGGATACTGTTGATTTCCATACATATTTGGGTCATTTTGATTTCCATATAAGTAGGGATTTCTTCTGTTTGGTTGGTCATACAAGTTTCCGTACTCAGGCTTAATAGCGGGGTCAGAGCTATTGTTTTTTGTATCTGTATCAATGGCTGGACTAACAGTATTGGAACCTAAGTTATTAACACCCCATACTTGTGAATTTTGACAGCATACCTATAATTTAAAATGGCGATTAATGTTATAGAAAGGATTTCAATTGTTTTAAATATAACCGATTTAAAAATGTGAAAAGTGGTTCAAATTAATGAGATAATAAAAATTTATTTACACGCGTTGTATATCGACCTAATAATCAAGATGGATCCACTATCAAACATGTTATGTTGCCAATCGCACCCTCATTTGTTTATTTTAAATTTCTTAATGCTAAATTTGCTTAATGAAGATGTACGTAAGTGTTGGGTATATACTTTAAATGATATCTTACTAAATCTCCTTTCGCAACATGTGAGAAACCAAAAACGTTATTCTTTTTATCCTGTTGGTCGTCACAAGGGAACTTTAAGTTCCAGGTAATTTGCTCCTGTCTGTTCATACTCGTGAACGACGGACATTGTTCTTTTGCAAGACATTGCTCACATATTTCTGAAAATTTAAATCAGTATTAAACTTTTGTATTTGGTGTACAATTTAAATTAAAAATAAATTAGTTTTATAGTTAAATAATTGAAGGCGATGTTGACAGAAAGTACTTCAGTCAATCAATATTATATTAAACTTTAATCATGTACTCATATTTCTCTAAAGACCGATCGCGCTTTAGTTGAAATTGTTAAGTTTTTATGAATACCTAAGAGGATTAATTCCAGCAATATCCAGTAGCAAGTTTGTACCGAGGTTTAGAATTTCAATCAACTTGAAGCGTAGAATCTGTCAGTGCATTATATTGGCTAGTAATATAATTAGTTAGTCGAAGTTGTATCTTAAATGTTCACATCGTCTGGTAAGTTATATCATGAATTCTATTTGGCTTTGTAAATCGTATGTATATGTATGCTTCCATAATCACATTGCGGGCGTTCAAAATATGTTATAATATCGTACAGTTTTACATACCTTTCCTAACCGAGGCACTTAAAATAACTTTTAACAAAATAACGAATAATGCACTCTTCATATTTAAACCATGTGCTGTCTTGAGTCCTATTGATTAATAACTGTTATATCATGACAGAAATGCCTACGTAATTGTCATTTGATTGAAGGGTATTAGTTAGTGGGTATTTGCCATTAATTGTGTGACGTAGTAGACTAATAGTTTTGATGAAAACAAACGCGGTTTGAATTAACCAATTATAGGAAAGGAAATATTATCGTCCGATTTAATAGCTTTATGGGAATTTTTTAATTAAATAATTCTTTGTGATCAGGAAACAATGTTATTGTTACCTTATCACAAAGATATATTGCGTCGTACTTGAGATTCAGTGTTAAAAACTGAACTTCTTTACAATTTTGAATGTCTGAAATTATAAGGTACTTTGTTTATGACAAAAAAGAAATCCGTTGGATATAAAAACATTATAAAAGGTACTAAAAATCGTATACAAAAAATACTTCAAGAAATAACGAGCTTAGGTAACTACTGTATCGCTACTAACTGCATCGCTAAAATACAACAATTATTTCATAATAAGGCTGGTGCTTGTTTTTTTTTTAAATATATTATTAAATATAATTGTTTTTTAATAAACTTTGTGCCGAGGAATTGGTAAAGTGAACTCAAGCTATGTAAAAAGAGGAATGAAAAGTACATTCACAACGATTACCAATTCAATCAGCAGGGTAACATGCTTCGTCGACACACAGAATTTCGTAACAGATCGTCACAAATAAACAACTTTTACATGTTGAGTACCTGAATTTGAATTAGAGTACCTACATTTCTAATTTGAAATAATTATAGTTTAAGTACTATCAAATACATAGTTAGAAGCTATTTTATGTTTTATAGCCCCAGTGGGGCCAGCATGTCTGTTTCGTTATTATAAAGCAATTAAATGAATTAGATGAATTTTGTTTAACCGGCAATTGAACTCGAGATATATTTATTTATAAGTCCTAAAACACATAACATATACATCAATAATTGATTATTATAATATAATATATTGCAAGAGACGATGGCAAAGGACGGACGTTGAGTTTGATTCCATGGAAGATAGGCCGAGTACTGGTATGGGATGCAACCTGTTAAGACACGCTGGCCCCTTCCCATCTACATGGAACCAACACCAGAGCTGTTGTTGCTGTTGAGCAACAGCAGGGCTTGTGAAGCAGCTGAAAAAACTAAAGCATGCACATACAGGGGTCTAGGCTCAGAATATGATTTTGTCCCATTCGGTGTCGAGACCCTTGGTCCGTGGGGTCCTAGCGCTTTAAGGCTTTTTAAAAAAAAATCAAAAAGGTTAATCGATATCACAGGAGACCGAAGATCTGGCAGCTACCTAGGACAAATAATTAGTCTAGCTATTCAAAGGGGGATCGCTGCCAGAATCTTCGGAACCTTGCCTAAAGGGACTCCTTTTAATAATATATTTTAGTTATTATATGTTAAGGTTAGTTATTTATTTCAATGTATATGTGAATTATATCTAAATATAATAGAATTACTACATAACATAAACATTTCAAACTAGCAAGAAACATTAAACAAACAATTACAACAAAATATATAACTAAAATCAAATAGAAACTTAAACCTCATTAAGAGCATGATAAACAAAGTTACGGTAAGTTGGAAGATTGTTGTAAAATATATCAATACCTTCATCAAAGTTAGTAATTAAGTTGTAAGAGCGAGATAGCTTAATCACTGGCTCATTAAAAGTACCCAGTGCAGCGTTGACATCAGCTTCAGCATACGAATCTCATCCCTGAGGTCGTAGGTTCGAAGTTTCGAACCCCGGCTGTGTACCAATGGACTTTCTTTCTATGTGTGCATTTAACACTCGCTCGAACGATGAATCGTGAGGAAACCGCATACCTTAGACCCAAAAAGTCGACGTCGTGCGTCAGGCACAGGAGGCTGATCTTGCTTGTTAGATTAACAAATGATCATCCGATTAAAATAATTTATTGAAATCTCAACGGACGAACGATACTGCTATGTGTATTTTGTACGCACGCACGTTTTTTACAAACATTTTCCGAAGCGCCAACAAATTGGCTTATTTCGAATTTTACAAACTGACCCAGATTACTTCCTTAATTCCATAGAAAATTAACAAATTGCCAGTGACGAAGTATTCATCTGTTAATTGAGAGATAAATTTAAATTAATTTGCTACTTATTACCTCGGTAATGATTATGAAAACCCCAACCTTAATTAGGCTAGTCGTTATGCTATCTGCTTCGTTAAATCCCCATTACATATCACTAATATTATACTGGGCGTGTTCATTATATTTAATATCTAGTTGATTTGAGATATAACTTCTATTCATATCTATAAGTTAAGCGGTAATGTTGGTCTAGTGGCTTCAGCGTGAGACTCTTCACTCGACCAATGGACATTGTGCGCATTTAACACTCGCTCAAACGGTGAAAGAAAACGTCGTGAGGAAACCGGCTTGTCGACGTCGACGACGTGTGTCAGGCGCCGGAGGCTGATCACTTACTTGCCAATTGACAAATGATCATTAATCAGATACAGAAATAGGAGGCCCAGACCTAAAAAGATTCTAGCGCCACTGATTTTTTTTATTTTGTTAAAGCTGCTAGAACTGTTCATTCTATTAAGGTATTTTTTCGCAAAGGAAAAGTTTATCAAAACATCTCTCGTTTGCTATCAATTAACCTCAGGTTCGTTGAAGTGGTACTTGTTGCTAATGGGTTATAGACTGCAAGTTCAGAGGGATGTGGGGAGTCGCTGTTCAATTTCTTTTGAAGTGTGGACTGTGGGTATCGAAACCACAGAATGTACAACAAGATCAAAATACTTTCAGCGAATTTTTAAATTATTTTACTGCTCTTTTATATGTGATACAATAAATTACACTTCGGCACAGTTATATTAAAATTAATAATTATTTTTGTTATAAAAATACTAGATGCCACATTAATACAGATTGTATCAGTTTCTTTGGTAATTTTTATTTTATAAACAAGTAGGTCAGTCTTCTGTGCCTGACACATCGATTTTTGGGTTTGAGACGTGTCGGTTTCCTTACGATGTTTGCCTTCCCAAAAAGTCATTGGTGCACAACTGTGACTCGAACGCACGACCTCTGGGATGGGGGTCGCACGCCAGCACTGTTACAATGAATAATATATATTAGGTCCTTACATATGAAATTGGCGTATTTCGTACTGGCCACTTTAATCACGATGTTCTCCTCTTTGGTAAGGAATTCTAAATTCAAATTTGTACAGCTATTTACTCATGTATTTGTGCTTCGATGACCGTCATTCATTTGTTTTTTTCTTCGCATTATTTACGAGTACGAGTTCCGCCGTGGCACTAGTGCTGCGGAAACGACTCGAAGGGTGAATGATGTGTATGGCGGTCATGTTGCAAAAGAAAACACAGTTCGTTTTTGGTTCCAACGTTTTCGTTCTGGAAATTTCGACCTGCAGAACAAGCCCCGTGGACGACCTGAGACCCAAGTTGATAATGAAGTATTGAAGGCTATTGTGGAAGCGGATCCATCGCAAACCACGTCCGAGTTAGCTGCAGGCTGCGGTGTTAGTGATAAAACTGTTTTAATTCACTTGAAGCAAATTGGGAAGATTAAAAAGCTTGAAAGATGGGAAGAAGTACCTCACGAATTGACTGAAGCAAACCGGCAAACGCGCGTCGACTGCTGCGTTACATTACTGAACCGGCACAATAATGAAGGTATTTTAAACCGAATCATTACCTGTGATGAAAAATGTATTCTTTACGATAATCGGAAGCGCTCAGCGCAATGGTTGGATCCTGGCCAGCCAGCCAAATCCTGCACCAAGCGAAAATTAACCCCAAAAAAGTTAATTGTAAGCGTTTGGTGGACTAGTGCCGGTATTGTTCATTGCAGTTTTCTCAAATCTGGCCAGACTATTACGGCTGATGTCTATTGTCAGCAATTGCAAACCATGATGGAAAAGCTAGCGGCTAAACAACCTAGGCTGGTCAATCGCTCCACGCCACTGCTACTTCACGACAATGCTAGACCACACACTGCACAACAGACGGCTACCAAATTAGAAGAGCTTTAATTGGAATGTCTAAGACATCCTACGTACTCCCCGGACCTTGCTCCAACAGATTACCATTTTTTTCGAAATTTGGACAACTTCTTGCAAGGGAAAAAATTTAACTCTGATGGGGCAGTCCAAATCGCCTTCACAGATTTTATTGATTCCCGTCCGACTGGTTTTTTTACTAAAGGGAAGGAGAAAACAATGGTTCATACTTTGATTAATTAAATATTTAAAATAATTAAAAATATTCGACTTTTTGTTCCTCCCATACAAAACGCCAATTTCATATGTAAGGACCTAATATTTATTCATAATCATAGCAATCAAATATACCGTATTTACAATTTTCTTAGCCTAGAAAATTAAAACAAATTTAAAAAGTTAGGTCCCTGTGGCAGTCTACCTAATAAATAAATAATTGTAGTATTGTGATTTTTCTGTAATAGTGATATTCCTGGAACTCATTCGTATACACGAATTCTAGATACAATGGCCGACGCAAGTGTCCAAATTGGATAAAAATTAATTTTAATTTAACCTAAATAATATGGGTTCTTGAAGGATTCTTATTTATAATCATAACAGGTAGATTTGTCGATAGGTTAGTCTAGTGCACCCTAGTCACAACAATAAGATATGAACGCATTGTTTTTGGTTTATGTACAAGACAAATTACGTAGACAGGTAGAGATTTTCCTCACCTTTAGCACATCCTTAACATTTTGGATAAATATCGCGTCTATTAAATAAGGTAAATGCTGATTGTTTGATTCCTAGTTTAAGATATTTGGTGTATTTTGTAAGCCTTCTAACAATGTTTAATAAATACGACAAATATAAAAATATAATAATCGAAACTTGTATAACTTCACTTGCGTCAACTTCGTTTTATTTGACGTAAGTAATATGACGATGTTGTACGTAAATTATTA